GGAGAAATAGATTGGTTGGCCATATTAAACTTTTAATGCTATGCTGCATCCAGATAGAGCTAGCAATAGATAACTGGAGGTGGAACTCAAGCTAGAGGAAATGTTTGGGCCAAAAGTTAAATTTGAGAGTTATTAGCTTCTCACAAATTTCCTTTAGTTAGCCTTTCTCCCACATCATCAATCTCCTCTATCATTCTCATTGGTTTCAAACATGTTCTAGTATTACCCATCATTTAAAACAAAGTCAAACAAGAAATTTAGCTATTGCCCCAATTTTTGTGCTTCCCTGAACAGGGAAATCTCTCACCTAGAGGCCGACGGATTTAGAACGTTTATGGGATCAATGGCTAGAAGATTATGATGACATAAAACATAGCAGGGAAATATTAATAGAGTTGAATAGATAGAAAGTGATGATTTAGAAAGTGGGATGTTCAAAATAAAAATTTCAGAGGTGTCAAATGATTGTAGTTTTTCAGAGCAGTGTTAGTAAAGAATTGAAAGATGAAGAGATCATAGTTCCATTGTATGGTCAAATTCAGTGTTGGCACTTAACTGGCATGCACTAGCTCAGTCTCACAAATCTTCACAATCAATGCACAATCTTATCGGCTGTTGCCCTGCCATACTGGTTATTAAGTATCATACTCAGTCAAGCAACAATTTTGAGGAACACTGGCAAACTGGAACACATCCATAGAGCATAATGACAAGGATGATGAAGGACATGGACACTTGGGCATGTTTAGCTTGGAGAAAAGAAAAGGCAGAAGGATTATAATTCTTCTTTTCAAATAATTATGGAATTCTCATACAGTCAGGCCACGTATGAAACTCATTCTGCCTAGTAATATCTAATAATTATTGAGTATTTACCATTATTTAGGCATAGTCCTAAGAACTTATAACTCGCTTAATCTTTTTAACAATCTTATGGAAGTAGGTTATATTATTCTCATTTTAAATATAAGGAAACCAAGTCACAAAAAGATTGAGTAACTTGCCCCTAGTGACATAATAGAGAAAGTAGAGAAAGTAAGATTCAACCCAAGCATTCTGATTCAAAAATTTATGTTTTGGGCCACTGTACGAACCATGTGGCAGTCATTACTTTGATGTTTTTTGATCATGTTGATGAGAAAGAACAGTCTAGCAATTAGAACTGTTCAAAAAGAGAAAATGCTCATAAGGTCTATGTCATATTTTTAAGTCTAGTAATCATTTGTCCAGGGTTTTTTTTTAGAATGAACTCAGTGTTAGATGAAAGATTGAACTAAATGATCTCTAAGTTCTATGTTTAAACTAGTCCTTTACTTCTCATCTAATCACTGCCCATCTTAAACCTACAGATTTTTAAATGTGTTATTTGTATTCCTTAGTCATTAATTGAAATACTGTACTTGACAGAACCAAGGATAGAACCATTTTCATACCATTAAAACCGTCCCTCCAGGTTTTAGCATTGTATGGTTATTTAATCAGTTGTGAAACTTCTCATTCACTTACATTTTATATCTGTTCACAGGGACATTGTAAGATACTTTATTAAGTGCTTCACTGAAATCAAGATTCATTCAATTTATCTCATTTCCCCTAGCCACCATCTAATTATCTCTTTCAAAAATTAGATTAGCTTAATTTAATGTGGCATGTTAAGGATCCCATGCTGGCTTTGCATGACCACTGAGTCCTTCTCCAAGTTTTCAGAAATCATCTGTCTAATAATTAGCTGTAAAATTTTGCTGAGGTTTATTTTTAACAAACACAATACTTTATATTAATTCATTTAATCCAGTGTAAATCTTATTATTTTTATCTTCATTATGCAGATGAGAAATTGGAGGCACAGAGAGAGGTTTAACAACTTGCCTAGGGCCACATAGGTAATAAATTGCAGAGCTGGTTTGAACCAGCAGTTTGCGGATAAAATCTGTAAGCACTAAGCCACATTACTTCACTAATATATGACCTTGGAAATACCCTGCAACTCTTTGTTTTCTCTGTCTCCTACCTGTCCCCCCACCCAAATCTCTCTTTTAAACAGAGTAATGTTTCCCCATGTCCATTATCTTAAAATTTATGGGAGTTTTGTTGATTCTACCCAGAATCCCTTTGCTTAACATGGTGTATCCTGAAAGGTCTCCATCACTTTCAAAACACCAAAAGTTTCTTGAGGATAAGAATGATGTAGAGAATAACTGTTTCCTTCTTCCTCATTTTTTTCCTAAGGTTTCTGAGATAACATCTTTAAGACAAATCAATAGTATGTTGTTTTAATTCAGGAGAATTTAAATAATAGCATGCACAGATAAATTATAGCAAATATCCTGTAAATACCAGAACCACTTTTGTGCCAAATTTTGTGTTTCTGAATTAGAAAAGTATCCACATTATTCTATATTTGAGCAACCTGCATGTCTTAGTTTGGACTGCTATAACAAAAATACCATAGTTTGGGTGGCTTAAACAACAATTTCTCAGTTCTGGAGGCTGGGAAGTCCAAAATTCGGTGTTAGATAAGAGCTCACTTCCTGGTTCACAGGCAGCCATCTTCTTGCTGTATATCCTCACATGGCAAAAAAAAAAAAAAAAAAAAAAAGTAAGATAGCTTGTTGGAATCTCTACATAAGGTGACTAATTCCATTCAGTAGGACTCTACCCTCATGACCTAATTACTTCCCAAAGATCTCCCCTCCTAATACCATCGCATTGGGGATTAGGATTTCAACATATCAATTTGGGGGAACACAAACATTTGATCCATAGCACTGTCTGTTTCTCTGTCTACTTATCTTCACTAAAATGCCTCTTTTCTCCTCATCACAGATTGACATACAATTGTTTATTATTTTCATATCAATTACTAACCTAGCCTTTTCTCTTTGATCTTTTTAAATCTATACCTTTCCATTATTGCAATCAAATCATGAATTCCATCCTACAAATCTTGATCTTACACTACTGCTAATCATTCCTTTGTCAATATTAATATAGGATTTATATCCCCTCTTTGCCCTCTTTTACCTATGTTATTGCACTGGAGAAGTGTTTTAATTATTGAGTATATTTTACATTGCACCTCATTTTTGTGGCTCCAAGAAAGAGTTTGTCTTGCTATCCAGTAGTGCTTACCTGACTGTGCATTTTAAGACTGATGAGTCTGTGGGAGAAAGAAGTTTTAAACTTATTTTGGAGGATATAATTCAGAAGCAATCACAGAAAAGCAATATTGGGACCAAATTGCCTATCAATGGTAAGTAATTGTTTTAAAATGTTTATTAAAGCAGGTACCACATAGGTCTTGAAGTAGAACATGGGAACACTGGTTTAAGGGTCACTGGTAGTCACCCTGGTCTAATACCGAAAACTAGATAACTTCATTTCAAACCATTTGTTAATACATGAGAAATGGTAGTTCAGATGTATCATCTAAAGTAATAAACTTACTTGGGGTGGATCTATGTTATTTTTATTTAAGAAATAATGATACATGAAAGTCAATTCATTGCTTTTTAAAAGATCCATCAGGGATATTTAAGCTGAAACAAAGGTACAGTTCAGTGTGTTTCCATGTCTGTTACCATGTCTTTTTTATTAAGTAACCACCCCCCACCCCAAAAGAGAATATTTTAGCTGAACATGTACTAACTTCTCTGCATAAAATAGAATCAAATTTAATGGTTTTTCTACTGATCCAATCTATTTTAAAGCCAGGATTTTATTAGTTGTGCTTAAAATTTAAAAGCCTAACGAATGTGTTATTAGGAGATTCTCCCGATTGGGGTGTAATTCTGGGAAGAATTCTGATAATCAACTTGCAATGCAAAGAGTTTCTTTTCTTTTTTTTTTTTTTAATGTCACTTTGTTTTATGATAAGGGTGATGAATGGGCTTTCTGAAGAGTCCTTGATTTGAACAGACTAGTGAACCACATCATTTTTAATTGATTAAGGATGTTCACCTAACTGACCCTTCTGTCTCCCTTGCCTTCATCTTTCCTTCTCTATATCTCTAAACTGATCCTTCATTCTCATAGTAAAAAATATTTAAGCTGCCTCATTTCTTTTGCTAACTCCTTCTCTTTGGGAAGTAAGTTGAATACTAATAAAATACTGTCATTATTTATGTGTAAAAACAGCTCACAGTTGTAAGACCACATATTACCACATATAATGTGGATTACAAATGCAATAAAAACATGCATTAAGGCAGTAAATCTTAATGCACTAAAAACATGTTTGAATAAATACCTTTTGTGCGTTTTTCCCCCCTAAGATTAAGATAGGCATAATTTTGATGGGTTTGCATGTTTTTTTGGAATATGTATCAAAAGGGAAAGAACCCATGTTTTATACATATCTGAAGAGAAAGAAATGAGTTTTGATATAAGTAGTAGATAAAGAAATCTACTGTGTTAAAAATTGGTTTTAAATAGATTTCTGGTATAAAAAAGAAATTTTAAGTGAGGAATTTAACAAATGAGCATATCTTATAATTCTCAAATCGTATGACTCTTTTGAGAATTGTAAGCTTAATTTTCTTCATATTTGAGGGACTACTTAAATAAGTCTCTTATTTTTAAATTCCTGGTGGGTTTCTTTTTAAATCTGAAATGGAGTAAACATACTGCTAGAAATTTTCCTTATCCTTTTCCTTTATATAAACATTGTATTTTGAATATGTGTAGTATAAAATATTTTGATATATCTAGATATGTTATACTGGAATAACACAAATAATGCCACAGAAAGAACAATGTCTAATAATTTCATAATAAAATACAATATTTTTTTGAAATCAGTTTTTTTGATTTGTCTAATGCTGTGTATATTAAGGCATCAGTTAATTTTACTGATTTTTGCTCATTTTAAAAGCAATTGAAGAAGAGTCTCATCTCTTATTAAAAATCCCAGTGTTGAAGCTATAAAAGAAATAAACACCTCTATTCTGAGATTTTAATAGACTTTCATAAGTATTTCTAATGTTTTGTTACTTTTTAAGGAATAACAGTAGAAAACAATACAGAAAGATGGTCAGCTGAAGACAGATGTGAAATTCCAGTCATTGACCCACTTGTAACGGAAGAGTCTAAGAGAGATACAAATGTGCTGCCAGCCAAGCTTGGGGAACCCAGGGTGGTTGGTGGCCATGTTGCTCTGGCAATGTCATGGCCATGGCTGGTCAGTCTGAAGCACCAAGGACAACATAACTATGGAGGTGTTCTGATTGCCAAACAGTGGGTCTTGACAGTGGCACACTGTAACTTTAGATGTGTGCCTGAGTGGTGCAGGAAGTGCTGGAGCTGTTTGAGGGCCCAGAGTGGGCGAACTCCTCCTGCTCTCCTGTATCTTAAGAAACATTAAGCATCACGCTCCCACTGATACAGTCCCCATCTTGCAAATGAACGGACATACTGTATTAGGTTGACGAAACTTTCTGGGCTTCAGGAATATGTTTACTACTAATAGCTCTTAATTTTAAAAGCTGCTTTCTGCTTCTAGGTTAATTTAGTTAATAAGTAACTAACAATACTCCCTCTTCTTTCATCCTCTATAAAATGGAGGTAATGATATCTTAACATTTTCTCATCAGTCTCTTAACACCATACTTAGAGCACAGGGGTTGCTCAAAGTAGATTACTTTCCTCCTTGCTCTCCAGTTCTGTCTTATCTGATTATCAAGTTAAAAAGGACACTCTTTAAAATCCTTTGAAACTTTAGATAATAATTATGTGTCTCTAAATAACAAATATCTAAAGTTTTTCAATTTTTTAAACTAAAGAAAACTAAAAAAAACCCAAACATTCCACCTACCCGTTCTGGCAACAACTGACTGTTCTCTGTATCTATAAGCTTGTTTGTTTTTTAAATACGTGTGCCTGTGTATTTTTTCTTAGTTTCCATACGTAAGAGAGATTACATGGTGCTTTATCTTTCTCTGTCTGACTTATTCCACTTAGCATAATGCCCTTAAGTTTCATCTATGTTGTCACAAATGGCAAGATTTCATTTTTTTATGGATGAGTAATATTCCATTATATATATCCATTTATCCTTTGATGGATACTGAGGTTATTTCTATATCTTGGCTATTGTGAATAATGCTGCAGTAAATATGGGGTACAGATATCTTTTTTAATTAATGTTTTTGTTTTCTGTGGATAAATACCCAGAAGTGGGATTGCTGGATCATATAGTAGTTCTTTTTTTAATTTTTAAAGAATGTTTTTTAAAAGAAACATTTTTTTAATCTGAAATTTGATCTCAGTGTGATATAAAATATCTGAAAACTCCTTCCTCAGAAGTGTTAGCTTGATTTTAAATACCGGCCTCCAAGAAGTAGTGAGACAGTTGACACCATCGCATAATGTCCCATAGCTAAGTGAGTAGATATAATGTCTTCAGTGTCTCTAAAATAAGCTTTATAATAAAAGTATCTGTTTAAATAATTTGGTGAGCAGGAAACTTCAACTAATCAAAAACATTTTCTTTACTATCCCCAACTCTTACTCTTAAATAACAAGAAAGCATCCTTATTAAGGCAGTTTTTAGACTTTCACATGCTGAAAATTACCTGGGGACTTTGCTATAAATGATATCTTAGAATCTTAATTCTGAAATTTGATTTGATGAGGTACGTCATGCACATTCCATGATTTAATGCATGTTCTCCCTATACATTTCTTTTAGAAATGTTATATTAGGGAGTTCAGTAGCTTTAACTTTCAGAATCGCTTTCAGTGGCCATTATATAAATATATAATGTATACAATTATGATTGTAATGATATGTAGAATCATTACTTTGAGACATTGTGAATCTTCATTTTCAAAGAAATCATTTTATTTGATGTTATGAAGGCAAGAAACTGCTTTAAATTTTTTCTCAAGGATTCAGTTAATGAGAAACCCTCATTTTCTAAGAATTCAAGATAATAAAGACTTTAATGTAAATTAGAAATGTTAATGTATTTATAATAATTTTGAAAAATTATGGCCTCATTAAAAGTGGTATCTATTTTCCCACTCTCTTTTCTTATGACAAGTACTGTCACAGACAACCTGGTAATAGGAAGAAGTTACCTCTCAAACATAGGAAATAGTGATTTCATACCAGTGAAAGCTGTATACACTCACCTTGGCTTCACAGTTTCCTTCTAATGATGTTCTATCCCTGTTGTATCTGGAAAAACCTGTCGAACTAGGTCAGTATGGACAGCTCTTTTCCACATTTTGAACATTTGCCATTTAGTTTATATCTTCCATCTTGCTTAGAAGTGCTGTATGCACTTTTGAAGTTAAGTAAGTATTTCTAAACTTTCTTATATTTTCTCTAAAAGCTAAAGTACCTGCATAAACATTTTACTTTTACATGTTTTTAATTAATGGATCTAGAAAGGATGTCAAAGAAATACATTTTAACTTTGTCCTATTTATCCTTCTGATCTTGCGAGGTTAACCCAAATACTTAGGAATTTGAACCATCAGATCTTTGATTTTCTGTACCTTCGTGGCTTAGTAAAATCTCGTTCTTTTTAATTGTTTATTTAAACCAAAGCTACTGTGAAAGTGTAGTGAGAAATTGCTAATCTGGCTCTGTCACGTGGTAGCCATTCAATCTTGGGTAGGTCATGTAACTGTTGAGAGCCTCAGTTTTATCATTTGCCAAAAAGGAATAACAGTAACCCACCTATCTGCATAGCACAGGGAAACATTCAGTGAGCAACTATATTGAGGGGAATGTAGCTAAGACCTGTGGATTGTCCCCACTTAGACACCCATGCTTTTATTCTAACTCTCTCCTATGTTTCTGCATTCTTCAACTGTTCCTCTGCCAATAAATAGCCTCACCTCCTTTTTTTATGTCTTTTCAATGCATCTATTCTACAAACCCCAGTCATGGTTCAATTCACCACTTACTTTTTGTGCTTTTAAATTGTACCAGTGAGAGCATCTAGAACAGTGCTTCTCAACCTTAGAGGCACATTTTAATCTCTTGAGTTGCTTTATCACAACCTCAAGAGTGGAGACTTGACTTTTTTTTTTTTCCTTCTTATCTTGCTTTTAAAACTTATTTTAGTTGGACTTTTTATGCTGAGATAATTGTAGATTTACATGTAGTTGGAGAAAATAATACAGAGACACCAATATACTTTTTCCCCAGTTTTCACCAATGGTAACATCTTGTAGGATATTGACACTGATGCAGTAAAGATATATAACATTTCTATCACCACAAGGATCCATACTGTTGCCCTTTTATATTTAATTATGGTACATTAATTATCTGAATACTTTGTGCTATTAAAAAGAATGATGTGGTAGATCTATATGTAATGATGTGAATGATATAACCATAATTTAATAAATTAAGAAAATCAGAATAAGAAAAAGGACCAATTAAAAGATGTGTTGGTAGAGGGAAATGTTTTTTAACTCTAGGAAATTTGGCAGGAAATGGTATAATAGAGCAATGATGATCTGTGAAGACAGAATAACAAGATTTGGAACCAGTTGGCACATATGTAGAGAGAGGAGAAGGAAAAAAAAAACAATTTACAAAGAGTTTTATGTGATTTTATTAAGAAATGGCAATAAAAATGAAGTACAAATCATATAAATCATGATCTAGGATGGCAGATATGTGGAAGCATTTAAGTATATAAAAGTCTGGATGAGAATAAAGTGAAACAACATGAGGAAACAAACGCAGGACCACTGCATTCAATATACATACAGTGCACACAGACATACATAAAATCACAATATTTATGTATATACAGATTTTGGTGATGTGAAAATGTGAATGTTTAAATATGTAATGTTTCAATATTGTTTATAATACACCTGTAAAAATGAATTAGATATAAAAATACTTATTAGCTATAAAAATACTAAAAAGTTCAAATTGCTACAAATGTGGTTTTCCCCACTCTTCATGTAGTATATTTAAAGAAAAAAGATAATTATATTCTCCATTGTCATCTCAAAGTCAACAAGGTGATGTCCTGGAGGCACATGGACAAAAAGGTAGATGCATTCTTTAAATGATTGTGGATGAGAAACCAGGAGCCCCACATCTCAGTGCAGGGCATGTATTTCTATTTTCCTAGGAGGATATAGAAATACCTGGAGCAAAGTGGTAACATGTAAATTGGAATGATCCCTTCTGAGTAATTAATAGCTGTCATTTCTAGAAGACTTGTTTATTAAATTGCAGAATTAAAAAGGTTACTATTAGGTCAAAGTAGGTATTTGTAGAGTCATCACTGAAAATCAAACAATTCTACGGACTAAATGATAATTGCCTTTTTTCCCCTCATCCTTTTAATTAGGAGAGTTTGTATCTCCAATCTGTTTGCCAGGGAAAGATGATAAAATAAATATACTTTCCAAATGTATGGCTGCTGGATGGGGACTAACTAAACCACATCATGAATATATTCACTACCTCTTCCAAGATTAGACTCCAAACAAATACATGCAAAGTCTAAGTATACTGTCTACTCATTTACAATTTTTCTGTGTTTTTAACAAGAATGATAATAGAAAAAGTCTTTTTCATAATGGATCTAAGGGTGATAGCTCGAGTTTTAGGCCATCATGTTATTGATGTTAGTTCATTAATACTAGTTCATTGATACTTGTAAAAACTTGTGTTGGAGAATATCTAGGGATTTTATTATCTAATAAGTATTCGTGTGTCCCGTTTATATATAATTACTCCCCAATTGCACTGTGAAAATATACAAACAATTTTGTTTTTACAACAATATAGATGCCACTACTATGAAAACTCATACTTGAAGATATGAGCCTATTCCCAAAGATATGACATGTTTTCTGAAATGATAGACTGGTATAAATGGTAAATAGGTGAAAAGATTATGTGAAAATAACCAGTCCATATGAAGATCAAACCCATGACTTTGGTCTCACTTCCACTGTATTCTACAAATGAATTAATGATTTACAAATATCCAGTAAACTAAAGACAAAGTGGGAATATAGAAGGCAATTTCAATTGTCAGCTTACACACAGTGTCAGCACTTAAAGGGGCATGTATTTCTCTTGTCCTAGGAGGATATAGAAATATATCTTCAGCAAAAGTCAAGTCAAAAGAATGAGAGCACCGTGAAAGCAATGGATAAAGTATAAACTTCACACGTAAAAAATAAATCGTATTATTTAATTTATCAACAACCGATTTGGGTGCAAATTTTGTCTTTTTTCTTCCATAAAGTGATATTTTTCTATCTTCTTAGGACTGTCCTAAAGACAAAAGACCCCACATAAAATGTTTTGTTTTTGTTGTTTCTGTGCCACTGTGGAGTAATATCAATACAAATCACCTAACAGCATCAGTACAGTGCTGAGAGGGGAAAATGAGTGGGTTAATCCTTGGAGTCTGTATATAATATTGGGCTGTTTTTGGTTTATCCTTTAAAAGCATTTGCTTAGGTTGTATGTGTTTTCATTCTTTTTCTACTAGAAGATGAATTTTCTAAAACTGTGCAGCAGACAAAGGTACAACTCATCAGTAGTACATCTTATCGAAGCTACTAGGGACTGTACCAATATATGGATCATCCTCATGCATGGTAATTCAAGGATTTCATTGATGAGTGAAGTATTGTATTCTTTTCAGTGTGTCTCATGAATGGGTGTTTGCTGACCATAAAGAGGTATAAATATATGGTAGTTTTAAAATGAAAAGCAAGAATAAGTACATTGTTAAGTTGATGTACTATGTTAATTTGATACTTGAAGTAGACTCAATTCGCAGAAGAAATTGCTCATTCATTTGCTTGATTGAACGATGAAATTAATGATATTTAACTGTTTTTAATCTTAAAAATGGTAATTTCTTATGGTTTGACTTCATAGATGAATTAGGTATTTTTAGTAACACTGAAAATATAGTTTTCATGTAACTCAAAACTATCTTTAGCCATTATATTTAGTAAATGCTTGAAACTTTCTACATGACACAGTATATTGTCAGCACTGAACAAATTTATCTCAAAATATCTTTTAGCTTCTCTTTGAAAATGTAGATTTTGATCTGATTCAGATACCTGTAACATCAGCCAGCTATCCCTGTCTTTGGTTTCCTATGCTGCTGTGAGCAGAAATCAGAGATGAGTGAATGATTTATATACTTTCTGATCATCCTTTGCAATTAGGGTTAGCTTCAACCATGAATCATGGAGCCAGAACTCTTTCTGCTGGTTGCAGGGAGATTCTGGAGGACCACTGCAGTGCGCCCAGTCTGGGCAGTTCAAGCTCATTGGTATTGTGAGCTGGGGAAGCAGTAACTGCCATCCTACTGCACCAATGTCTTCACTAGAATTTCAGCCTACAGGGACTGGATCACATATGTCACTGGAGGAGAAGCATGATCACTGAGAAAGAAGCAGGGTGGAATTGTATTATAGATGAGAAAGGAAATACATAACAGTATATCTGAAAAATTAGTCTCTTGTTAGTGCTAAAAAACTCAGTGTCTCTTCCCCCAACCCTTGTATTGAGGAGCTTGGATATGGTGTTACATACATTCAATATTAAACATCGGTTACAGAAAGTTAATATTGTTTCATGCCTCTTGAGAACTTATAATTGAAATGTCATTAAGTTTCTATTTATTTTGCCATGTATATGTCATATTTGAATACCATCATATACTTTTACCATTTTTTCTAGTTTGGAAAATTGGAAAATTTGAAGGGAAATGTTACTTGGTCCATAAAATTCTTAGTTTTACGCACAAAGAACAGTGCCCTGAGCCCAGTTAGATATGCAAGGGCCCTGTAAGTTTCACAATTTCAATGAGCAATAGACATTTAAAACATTATTTATCAGGCTTATCACTAGATTTTTAAATTTTTAGATAAAATTTTAGGATATTTTAGTTCACAAAACAGTTAATTTATCTACTCAGTTTTTCAATATTCCCTCCCCTGAATCTATGTTGTAGCCAAGAATTAGGGCGCAAGTAACTGTGATGTTAACCACTACACTATGCTTGTTCTTAAAAATTTCAGGGAGGTAGAAATAAATCAACTTAAATTTGATTTAAAGTTTTTGGACTAATCTTGGCATGAAAGTGTTGAAACGAAATTACACCAGTGGAAATTCTTATACCTGTTCATTTTCTAGACCTCTTTCTGGAAACTCTTATACCTGCTCATTTTCAATTTAGTGAAATTTAATATTTCAATAAACATTAATTCACTAAATAAAACTATGTGATTTGCTCCTCTAAAAGGCAGTTCAGTGTTGTGGTCAAGATTTCTCTGCCTCTCCCAGCTGACTTTGAATCACCTAACTGCCAGTTGATTCAATTTCCTTATTTATTAAACAAGTAAATAACGGTATCTTACATGATTGGTTGTAAAGATTAAATGAGATAAGGCAAGTAAAGCATACATATAAAGCAGTGCTCACTGGAAAAAACAGCACTTAGTGTATAAGCATTAGTCGTCATTATACCTTTGCAAGACCTTTGGTCATTTAGAAAATTAAAATCTCAGTGTTTGATTGGGAAATCTGGTAACAGTTGTACTTACTCTCAGGTAGTTCCCATTTAACCTTTCTTCCCCAAAGTCCCCTCCATTACCTCTTATACTATGAATTGTAAAGAAATGATAAAATGAAGTATTGATTTTTTTCAAAAATCTTTGAGTGCACATAAGTATTGGCAACATAAAGGTGAGGAAGACAAATGTGCTTTCTTACGGAGTTTACTATGGGGAAGACAAGAAAAACATTGAACAAATAAAAGCGTTACCTATGTCTGGAAAAGGAAGTTTATTCTCAACTATAGAAAATAAAAAAGGCAAAGACAAGGCACCAAACGTGGTGCAGAGTTTGGAGGAGAGATATGCATTAGGGTTGCAAATGATAATTCCAGCTCGCAAGTTTCTCATCAGTAATGAAGTACGATATGAGTGGGGATTCGTTCTGTGGTGGTCTTTAAGTATTAGAAGGTAATCTATCCATTCCGAGAGAAGCTGATTCCTCACTGGCGGTGTGGTTACACCTAAAATAAGTCCCAACTTCTGTTCAACTTAGTCCCGCCCCCTTCATCTTGACCACGCCTCTTGATTCACAAAGCACTTCTTCAGCAAAGGGCATATCGCGAGAACTCTACGTTGTTTCCACTGACGTTTTCAGTAGTGGTAGTCACTTTTGTTCTCGCGATATTTCCAGGTAAACGGGAGCCCGGGCGGCCCGGGCTTCTGTGAAACATGGCGGTCGACTGGGACCGAAACAGAAGGTAAAATACTGAAACCGTGCCGGGTATTGTTCCCTCGGTGATTCCAGGACACTTCAGGCCATGAATGTGGTTAAAGGAGGATGTCATGTGGTTGGCTCCCTGTCTTTATCACGCTCCTCTAGAGAGCGGGCTGGACCAGGGAGCCGCTCCACCTCCCCCGGGGGCGTTACTGGCAGGACCCTGGGCAGTGCTGCTCCTGGTAGCGCCAGTCTCCGTTTTCCGGTTTCTCTGCTCTGTCTAGCAACTTAAAGGCGTTTGGGTGCTTCCCCCGATAGCTGCTGACCCTGAAGCGTTGCTTCTCACAATGCCCCGTGCCCCTGTGGCTCCTCCTGTTTGCAGAAGAGGAGGGTTCGGCGTTGTGAAGACCATCCGGGTTGTGTCCCAGTACTCCCGGGTGTCTGGCTCCCCACCACCATTGAGAAAAATACCAAATTCTTGGCAGCAGGTTGCTCTCTCTTTTAAGAAAAGACTGAGGTCTTGGCCTCGCCTGGAAGGAGAGTTTCGCACGCCGCTTGGGAAAATGTGAAAGGGGCAGGGCGGGGCGAGATGTTACAGGAGAGACAAGTCCGAGTGTCACTACCTTTCTTAAACCCTCGAGGGTTAAGAAGCTCTTAGAAGGTAACTTGTTAACTAGTGGTAGACAATTAGCCTTGGGTAAAAGTAGGTTATAGAGTTGAAAGGTCATTGTTTGAGAAAACACGTTTAAGTAACTTTTTAAATTTAGGATTTAGTGCCCTGGAGACTTAATGCAAAGTTATATATCCGTTAAAATGTTGCAAGACTGGCTTTCAGAAGCAGTTAAAGATACAGTTAAAAACGATTTATTCATTTGTTTGAAGTTGTACTTAAGTATTTCAAGTAATTGCCTAGCCTGATACATTGAACTCTAGTACACAGCCATTAAAAAGAAACGAGTCAGGCTTGTTCACTGAAGAATTCAGGACGTGTGCTAGTTTATTTAATTGGATTATTGATATCTTTAAATTGTTGCAGTTATTCTAGTTAGAGGGAAAACACGAGAAAAAAATTTCACTTGGGAGGGGAAGAGTTTCTTTTTGAGAATAAACTTTACTACACTACAGAGTATTGTGATGGCTCAAGGGTACAAATCATAAAATACATCAAGCTCCAAAGTTCTCTCAAAGGAAATCAGACCTAGTCTGAATAACAACAACAAAAGATTAGAAAAAAATAGATTCATTTACTTTTGCGGGTTAGTGATTTAATTGGAAGAAATAGTGAAACTTATTTTTAATAGAAGTTCTTTTTAGGCAGCCTATTCCTGCTACTAAACCTATTTAACAGATTTTCAGTATTCTGATTCTGTCTCTAAATGTCATGTTGGGCAAATTAACCTGTTTATGCCTTAGTTTCCTTATCTGCAAAATGAGAATAATAATAATGCCTAATTCATAAGATGATTGGTGAGGGTTAAATGAGTTAAAACAATGAAAGCACTTAGAACAATGCCTGTCATACAGTTAGTATTCATTATATGTTAGCTCTTGTTATTTTTTAATTTTTGGTTTCTATCTTTTGTGGTTATTCACAAAATGTTGCCTTGGTACTTAGTCAAAATACTGACTGAAGAAGACATTTTTTTAAATTATTTTTTTCTGACCCCCAAATTAATTAAATTCTCTTCATTTTATAGAGTTAAAATGTCTTTAAACTCTGTCTTCCGTTTACTTGCTTTTTAAAGCTATTATCCTCTCTAAGGTACAAATTCCTCCTTTCTACTATTCCATACAGTTTTACTGCAATCTAGGTCAGTTCTGCCCTAGGTGCCTTGTTAATCCATTCTCCTTACTTTTTTTTTTTTTTAAATTTAGATGAGGCAACCCTTGGTTGACCTCACAGATTGCAAGGACCTTGTCAGCTTACAATCCTTTATTATATTTTATTTTTTACGCTTACAGCACCTGGTTTTTCTAGGTGGTCTCCCATCCAGGTACTATTAGGCCTGACGCTACTTAGCTTCCAAGATCAGATGAGATGGGGCTTGTTCAGGGTAGCATGGCCATAGACCCATTCTTTCTTTTGAGGACATTAATTTTATTGTAAATTTAATTCATGTGTGCCTGACCTTCCCCTCACACTTTCTTTATACTTCTTTACTTCAGTTTTGTATCCTGTTATTGAGTAGTTACTATAGTCAAGCCATTCTTTGAGGATTACATTCGTCCTTGCTTCACGTTGCTACTAGGCACTTAAAAATTGTTGTCATCACTCCACAGTGTCTTCCCTTTACTTTTATTCTATCAATCTGTCATCCTCAGTCTATTCATGTTATTACTAATTCCACATATTCCCACTTTCCTCAAAGACTTTAATATAATTCTCAAATATCCTACAAATCTTTGCATTTCTTTTGAAAATTAGAAACAGACATTTATCAAATGACTCATTTTTATCTTGAATAAAAACTGCGAGGTAGTCATTTTGACCCTCTCCCTCTTTTTAAATAAAATGATAATAGAGGATTCTGAGAAGTTGAAGATCTTTCCTAAATTTGTCACACAACTAATAAGTGCCCATATAGTAACCTAAATTTTTCTGATCATGAAACTTAACATGTATACGTTTTACTTAGCTTCCAAATAAACCTTTTAATCACTTAGAAGATCATTAGACTTACTTCAATTATGGTAAACAATTTTAAAAACATAGCATTTAACTTGTACAAATTCTGCAATATAATTAAGTCATTTAAAATTACAGATAAGTTGTAGTTTTGCTTTTTTGCCTCTAAAGTTCAGTGATAACCTGTATAATACTTTTTCTATTGCCTTTCACGTTTTTATTAAAACCTTGTATTAGTTTTAAAGGACTACTGTAACAAATTACTGTAAACTGCATAGTGTAAAAAATGAAATTTATTGTCTTACAGTTCTGGAGGCTTAAATGCTGAAATTAAGGTGTTAGTAGTGCCATGCTCTCTTAGATGGCTCTCGAAAAGAATCCTTCTTTACCTCTTCTAGCATCTGGGCAATCCTTGGTGGTCCTTGGCTTGTAGATGTATCATGCTAATTTCAGCCTCTGTCTTCACATGGCATTCTCCTTTGTGTGTCTTCACATGGCTTTCTTAATAAGGACACCAGTCATTGGATTTTGGACCACCCTGATCCAATATGATTTTGTCTTAACTAATTACATCTTCAAAGACCCAAATATTTTCAAATATGGCCCTTTCACAGATATCAGGAGTTATGACTTCAATATATCCTTTTGGGGGACACAATTTAACCCACAACATGACCATATGTATTAACCCATTAAATATTTCTCATATTGCGAAATATATTTTGAAAATAGAAGTTAGCTCATGGGTCGCATGAGATAAATTGTGTCTCCATTTTTGTTTGGAGAAGAATTAAACTTAATTGGACAGACAGACTATTAAAAATGTATGAATTCTATATTTTAATTTTGGCAAAACGTGATAGTCACATTATATTCAAATGGACACAATGATGAAATATGGATTGTTTAACATTACTTAGATTGAGTGCTGATAGTGTGTGTCCTATGTTCCAGCATGAAAGGTGGTTTCTTATTTCTTATGCAGTTTTTCAAAGCATTGTCTTAGTCTCAACTGTTAGTGACTTCCTGGAGCTTTTGTTGTTTATTATATATTTTTTGCTATACATGATAGTTTAGGAAAGAAATCTGAGGAAACAGTTATGGGACTGGAGATTGTCAAAGTATGAAGAGCAGCACCAACCAGTGGGCAAAAGAATCTAGTGCAGTGGCTTCTAAATTTTTAGATTTTGTTGACCAATACAAAACATATATAGAAAAAAAGAGGAAAGGGGGCTGGATTGGAGGACAGACATAGAATTACGGTGGGGTGGGGTTGTTTGTTTGTTTGTTTAATTAAAGAAGGATATCCAAAACAAAATAAAAAAACCTCTGTTATCCACTTTTATCATTTCATAAGAGAAAATGTATTTTGACACTTAAAAAAAAGGCATGGAAATTTCAGAATAAAGGACAGATTTTTGAATAGAATAAATTTAACCTAATTCCTATATTGTCCTTAGATTTTTTTTCATTTAGATAGACTAGAAAATTTTGTTACAGAATGGCAGTGACTTCTGGAAACCACTGATCTAGGGTATTTCTAAATGCATCTTTGAAAATGGCTGATTAAACTGAATGGAGAGGCAGATAGAATGGGAATGGGAAAATGGAACTGGGTAATTGAGAGGGAAGTCCAAGAGATTGAGAACACAGAGACAATGAAGAGCTGATTCTGACTTAGGCAGTTAAATAGCTGGAAGAATAATAGGTTCTTCTCAGAGAGAGAAATTAGTGTCTTGGATTTTAGAGGTGAAACAATTTTAAAAGTTAAGAGGAGCCAAAACATGGCCTTGCTAGTGTGAGGCTTTTCATAGAATTAAGATGGAGGTCACTGGAGTAGAAGATCTGTTAATCTAACGTGGTAAAAGGTTTATCATTGTGAATGAATGCCATAAGATGAGTGTCATAGGTTCCTGAATTCCAAAGGATGGTGATGGAATGGGGAAGAAGAGAAGCATATTGTGATCCAGATAGATGCTGAAGTCATTAAGGAAATCATATAAATATACCCAGAGGTACATGATGATAACAGGTGCTGAAATGAGAGACAGTATGCACTGTAGTTTGGAGCATGGACTCTGGAGCCAAGCTGCTTGCGATCAAATCCAGATTCTACCACCTGCTGTGTGGCCCTGCAAAAATTACTTGACTTTTCTATGTCTCAGTATCCTTATCTATAAATGAGAATAAAAATGGTATCTACTTCATAGAGTCATTTAGAGGATTAAATAAATTAATATATAAAGTGCTTCAAATAATAACTAGCACATAATATGAAAGGCCATAATTCTTTGTAGTATATGTGTTTATTATTATGATGATTAGAAGAAGATAGACTTGAAAATGGAAAGGATAATTGAGAGATCATGATAAAATGCTATTTTTTTTTTTTTCCCTGTGAATCTCAGAAATGAGTAAGGGTTTAAAAGGAATTATTATCAGTAGAACATCAGATTTCAAAAGAGCAGGCAGGAGGATTTCTTTTAGAAAAAAACTAGGAGTTATTGGATAACTTGCTCATATCAGAAAAGTGATTCGGTAGAATAGAGTGGCAGATATTAGAGATGCAATGGGTTTCTTGGCTGTAGGTTAGTGCCGAACTAACAGGAATGGGACAAGAGTATCCCCAGAGTGACAGGGTATTCCATACTAGAACATTAATCATGGAAAATAGGAATGCAAGAAGCTAGAGGATGAGAGGTAGCCAAGTGGAATAGACTATCTAGACTTTTAAGAGAGGAGTGCTGAGTAGGCTGTATGAATTGTTAGAGGGTTTGTAAAACTAGCTGCTTTCCAAATCTTTATGTTAATATATAATTTTTTAAAAAACATTTATAAAGTTTATAAAATACATAAAATTTAGGAAGTAAAATTAACAGTTTTATTCATTTGCTCAACAATACTATACCTACTATATGCCAATCACTGTACTAGGTTCTAGGGATACTATAGGGAACAAAACAGAAAAGTCCTTCTCTTTGTGAATCTTATATTTTTATGTATTTACTTATCTAAGTTTAACAGTTTTGACTGGAAAGCTGTTACCATGGGTGTTTCTGAGGAAATTTCTCACCTTTTTTTTTTTCTCCCACAAATATTTACCAAATACCTGCTATGCTAGGCATTGGAGATTAAAATATAAAGTTAGACGAGGTTCTTATTG